TGAGCTTTTTAATTACAATCATAGTCTTAATTTCCATAGGATGACCCCTGAACACAAAGTGAGAAAAGTTCCCCTTGATTGCCTGTTGTATCAGATATCTGTATTTTTTTACGGAAACATAATCCATAGTGACAACAGAAAAAAAAACTTGCTCTGATGTCCTGCTAATATTTTTCTTGTTTCTTCCCTTAACAAAATTAATAACAATGGGTACTTCACAAAATCATTGAACATTCATGAACATTTTTAACTTGCCTAAATATCCTTTTCCCATTACACTAATATCCGTAATTACCTGTACATAGCAATTCAGAAGTTTAAATAATTGAAATGCTGGTTTATTTGACAAACAAGAAAATACTCTTGGCCATAACGTTAGGCATACTCTAAAAATGCTGGCAAAGGAATGGGATCATTTCTTTTCTATCTGTTACTCTCTCCCAACCTTTGTTATCTACACTTAATAACAAGCAAATACTGAACTATCCGGTACTCAAAAAAAAAAAAAAAAAAAAAAAAAAAAAAAAAAAACTGAAGTAGCTATTCCGGTGTTTTGGTGTCCTGTAAATCTCGCAATATGCGAAGAGGAAGATCTGCCAATAAGAAGTATTCAGGACGTAGAAATTGCTTTAAAACAATAAGCGAAGAAAGAAAGAACAGAAGTATGAGTCATCAAATATAGTCTACCGTAAGCAAGTCCTTTTTATTGCTATCTGGTCAGCATTTTCAGACATAATATAAAAGCCGGACAGTAGTATTTCCAAACTAGTTAAGTGAAACCTGTCACCAAGATACATGGTTTAAGTGAGCCTAAACCTTTAACTGACGTAAAAGATGTATATGTTTGTGAAAGGAATAATGTGTTAAAATGAAAATTCGTCATAACACTTATATTTTTTATGTACTACAACTAGCTACAAGATCCTCTGTGCAGTTATCGAAGATATGTCAATTATTTAAATAGTAATCCATATTTCCGTACAGAATGTATGAAAAATGTATTGGATAAGAATTCATCTTACCAGAAACACAATTTATCTATTAATATTGTTATTGCTAATTATGTTTGTTATGATTACTATAAGTAACTTACTAAAATTAAATAGCTTATGGTTGATCTATACCCGTTTATTAAACAACCTAAAACCCAAAATTACCATGACGTTTTAGCAGATGAAGTACGCTTCTAACGAAAACGATAAATGCATAAATAAGCCTAAATAATATTAACTAATACACATTTCGGCACTTTAGATATTACATCTGCCGTACTAATTGATCAGCTGTATCTCTGATATTTAAAAAATACAACCGTAAGAAAATTTCTGTTTTAAAGGGGAATGTGCGTATTGATAAGTATTTATAATTGCATGAATTATGACCAAGAGAGCCGAGTTTTAATATATATCAGTTCTGCAAATGAAAAAAAGTGATTATTGCCTGGAACTTTGTCAGCATTACTATCTATCATGTATTTGATATATTTAATTAGATCTGCGCTAGGGGGCGCGGTGGTCCAGTGGTTAGAGCATCGGACTTTGGATTCGTGACAGATCCAGGTTCGAAGGTTCGATAGGTATTCAGCACCCAAGGGGAGCTGTTTTGTAATGGCTCGATCTCTAGGCGTCCTTGTCCTCATAGAAAGCACTCAGACAGACAAATGTGGGAAAAGTAACACAGGGACTAAGTAGTTCGCGTACCAGCTTTGTTACTATAAGTTATTGGATACTGAAAGTCTCTCCGCTATAGTGGAGCCAGCATAAATGTTACATATTACAAGAAATTCCCAATTTTCCTAGTAAAAATAAACAATGATAGCTTCGCTTTCGAATTGATATGCAAAAGCATTATCATTCCGAGCTTCAACAAAAGGAGTGTATTTCCACTTTCCACGTGGTCTGCGATGACCGACCTGACCAGTTGATTTTTTATTTAGAAACAATAAGGTTCAATAATCATATTTATAGTAACACTAATTCACGAGAAGTTCAATGCAAATTCTTGATCTGTGATAAAGAAAAATACATATGTTACGTGTAATTATTATTGGCTTTGATGAGGTTGGGACTATTCCCGTAACTTCAGACACTACACACGCATATACATATCATAGAATAGCAAGACAACGAGGTTGAGTGCATTTATTCAAAGGTAATTCCGCTCGCCCGTTGTTCCTCAGCGATGCGGAGCAGTTCATGCACGTGGTCGGGCAGCGGAGGGGCAACGGGCAGGAGGTCGGACGAGGGCTGGTAACCGTTCTCGTCGGCGACGAAGCTGACTTCAGCAGTGGTTCCGTCGGGGAGGAGGAAGCTGCAACAAAGGATATCAGTGTAGATACTACAGCCCAAAATCTATAGTTTAATATAAAATTCAATCTACATTTGTTTCTTCACTTTACCTGAATGAGCCCTGCATGTTGCTCTGGCCCTCAGATCCGGGAGTGCCAATTTTGCTGGCCCTGATACCATTGCTCGTCTCGAAGGTGTACTGGAAGTTGCCGTCGCCGTTGTCGGACCTCTCGTCCAAAACGGTCTCGGCCTCAGACTCGGCTGTCTGAGGACGGGCGAGGGCGACGGCGGCCAGACAGGCGAAGATGATCTGTGGGCGGAGATCACATAATATTTTCAACATATCCAAAAATATCTCCCTATTTTTCATCTTTCTCGCACTAAAACACATTTACACACACGAAAAATACTTGTACATGAGTGTGAGAACGTCTGAGTTTGTGAAATAAAAATGATTAAACTCGGTTCCACTCAGACTGCCTCTTGGCGCACAAACCCCGTCAAATGCAATGCCAGCAATGACAATGCAGGACGTGCATGTTCTACTCACCAGCTTCATGGCTGTAGTGTGGTGAAGCATGCCGTTGCAGCCGCTGTTTATATAGTGGCGAGAGGCTCAGGAAGGTTAAGGGAAGAGGGAAAGGGGGATCGTGGGAGAAACGGTCATGTATATTATTCACAAAAAGGGAGACTATGTACACCCAAAACTATATGCAAGCCAGAGATATTCAGACTTGGGTAATGACCCTCGTGGGGGTAATAAAGGTGTTTCTGAGGCATAACGAGGTACTTTATACTAGTAATAGTTTGTGGAGTAAAATGATGAATAATAATGATAAATAACGCAGAGGAAAATAAACCAATATGTATCATAATAAGAATAGAAATCAATTGATTACAAACAGAACGCATAAATAATTAAACACTACACTCTTTTTCTCTAAAATGAAGAGGAATGGAGGAGGGATAATGCTATCACACGCTGCCGGGGGTAACGATACCAAAAAGCCGGACAACCACAGATGCAGATTAAGGGTAAGGAGTGTAGATTATGGAGATTTCAGAATAAATGAGATTTGGTCATGAGTAGGTTTGTGTTAAGGCGTGATACATGAGTAGACTTTCGGGATGTTTTAAGACTGATGAGACTATTATCTACTTCTGAGGTAGATTAAGAGTAGTGAGGGTGGATAAAGGAAGATTTTAGTTGTAGAAGAGACAGCTATCTTATGTTTAATAATTTACATATTTTTATAGTGGTTTCTTCTTATTGTGCAACCTCTGATTGTTGCCATCTAGAAATATGATATGTGAATTCATGAATTATGCACACACTAAGGGGTCATCCATAATTTTCAACATTTACAAAAGTGTACAAACCGTACGCTGGGAGGGAGGGGGTCAGTGACCCACGTACGCTTTTCAAAAGATAAAAAATGTCGATTCTGTTGTTCTATTGAATTTCCCTCTTGACCTATAATTGATGCTCACACAGGCTCTGGGTATAGGTACAATGACTACTTAGATGTGAAAGACATGCTTGGCACTAGTTTGAAAGCTATCAAATCTGATAAAAAAAAAGATGAAACTGCTTGAGGAATGGCGTTTCATAGTTAAACACATGGACAGGAGATGGGGTCTGGTTTGTTTCAGAAAGGGTGCTTGTGGTGATAACGATTGCAAGTGTTTAGAAAGTGGAATACAGGCCACAGAGGTAATGAAGATTCCCATGAGTGATAAATGGTCTTTGCCTCCGATCACAGAGGATAAGGACAATCCAGGGCATTATAAAACATTCCGGCAGCAGGCTAAATCTCTTGTGTTCAGTGCACCAGATGAGCACATGAAACAGGTCAAAACAGACAACTGCAGGAAATGCAAATATATTTTCACAAGTGTAGCAGATCGTGACAGACATATCAAGCTTGTCCATGATGGTCTCCGTGCCTTTGAGGTTGCATCTAGCTCTGGTACAAAGAAGGTGCATAAGTGTGGGGTCTGTAGCTATGAGTTCCCAACGAGGTATCAACTTCTTCAGCATCAGGTTGATGAAGGGCACAAATTGAAAAGGGGCAGGCCATCTGCACAGAAGCAGTAGATTACCATGATTACCCTAGTACTTCAGCTTGGTGCTGAAGTGCTTGATACACTCTGGGCTTTTAAGAATCCAAATTTGAAACATGTACACTCTGGGCTTTTAGTAATCTAAATTTGATACATGTAGCATCCTTTACTCTGTCATCAACATGTTCAATAAAGACCAGGTACAATATACAATGTATGGTGTCATGTCATTGTTTTTCGAAGCCCATCTTCATCATCCTGAAGGATCAACATTTTCAATGTACACTCTCAGATGAGGGGAGGGGGTCCTAGAAAAGAGTACTCTTTGTACACTTTTGTAAATGTTGGTAATTATGGATGACCCCTAAACATATTTCATATTTCGACATATTTGGTTGGTCAATACAATGGAATTTGAAATGAAGTTAGTATGGATATTACTCATTTATAAGGTGACTATGCATACAGAGAAAGAAAAAGAGAAAGTAGGCATTCAGTGTCACTTTTCAGTGGGTTGACAGTAATGAAATTAATCAGTTTTCATTCTGAAAAAGGGATGTGATTGATTTCATATATATATACATCCTGCTTCTTATTTTGAAACGACTACGATTCACGGGAAATTTTCATTTCAGAAACAGAAATACGTAGGTTACATGTAATCTTTATTGCAACAATAACTTCAGACACTACACACGTATATATATATATATATCAGAGAATAGCAAGACGTAATATTCGATGAGGCTGAGTGCATTTATTCAAAGGTAATTCCGCTCGCCCGCTGTTCCTCAGCGATGCGGAGCAGTTCATGCACGTGGTCGGGCAGCGGAGGGGCAACGGGCAGGAGGTCGGACGAGGGCTGGTAACCGTTCTCGTCGGCGACGAAGCTGACTTCAGCAGTGGTTCCGTCGGGAAGGAGGAAGCTGCAACAAAGGATATCAGTGTAGATACTACAGCCTAAAATCTATAGTTTAATATAAAATTCAATCTACATTTGTTTCTTCACTTTACCTGAATGAGCCCTGCATGTTGCTCTGGCCCTCAGATCCGGGAGTGCCAATTTTGCTGGCCCTGATACCATTGCTCGTCTCGAAGGTGTACTGGAAGTTGCCGTCGCCGTTGTCGGACCTCTCGTCCAAAACGGTCTCGGCCTCAGACTCGGCTGTCTGAGGACGGGCGAGGGCGACGGCGGCCAGACAGGCGAAGATGATCTGTGGGCGGAGATCACATAATATTTTCAACATATCCAAAAATATCTCCCTATTTTTCATCTTTCTTGCACTGAAACACATTTACACACACGAAAAATACTTGTACATGAGTGTGAGAACGTCTGAGTTTGTGAAATAAAAGTGATTAAACTCGGTTCCACTCAGACTGCCTCTTGGCGCACAAACCCCGTCAAATGCAATGCCAGCAATGACAATGCAGGACGTGCATGTTCTACTCACCAGCTTCATGGCTGTAGTGTGGTGAAGCATGCCGTTGCAGCCGCTGTTTATATAGTGGCGAGAGGCTCAGGAAGGTTAAGGGAAGAGGGAAAGGGGGATCGTGGGAGAAACGGTCATGTATATTATTCACAAAAAGGGAGACCGTATGTACACCCAAAACTATATGCAAGCCAGCGATATTCAGACTTGGGTAATGACCCTCGTGGGGGTAATAAAGGTGTTTCTGAGGCATAACGAGGTACTTTATACTAGCAATAGTTTGTGGAGTAAAATGATGAATAATAATGATAAATAACGCAGAGGGAAATAAACCAATATGTATCATAATAAGAATAGAAATCAATTGATTACAAACAGAACGCATAAATAATTAAACACTACACTCTTTTTCTCTAAAATGAAGAGGAATGGAGGAGGGATAATGCTATCACACGCTGCCGGGGGTAACGATACCAAAAAGCCGGAGAACCACAGATGCAGATTAAGGGTAAGGAGTGTAGATTATGGAGATTTCAGAATAAATGAGATTTGGTCATGAGTAGGTTTGTGTTAAGGCGTGATACATGAGTAGACTTTCGGGATGTTTTAAGACTGATGAGACTATTATCTACTTCTGAGGTAGATTAAGAGTAGTGAGGGTGGATAAAGGAAGATTTTAGTTGTAGAAGAGACAGCTATCTTATGTTTAATAATTTACATATTTTTATAGTGGTTTCTTCTTATTGTGCAACCTCTGAGTGTTGCCATCTAGAAATATGATATGTGAATTCATGAATTATGCACACACTAAAACAAATAGAACAAACACTAAGAGACAATTGGTAATTGGGATTAATCAAGAGTTTACGTAATATCTTACTGGTGCTTCTGCATTACAATTACAGTATATTATCATATTAATCAGAAAAAGATTAAGTATATTTTTGTTAATCTGCCGACGCTTTAGCTAACCATCGAGTTTTGTATAGAAAGCATTTAGCTGGTCAACTATTTTTTACGAGTAATGTATTGCTACGCACGTTATAAAAAACAAACTACAAATATTTGTAACAAAATATGCAGAGAAGTTTGATTTCTCAGAAATATGTACTATCAAATCGCAAAAAATATATGTTCATTTGTATCCGGGCATCAAGGTAAAAAAAAATCAGTTTAAAGAATAGTTCTCACACCTACTCAGTATGATGTGCAGTTAAGCAGTACCTGCCGAAGGTAGAAAAAAAAAACATGTATTCTGGGATCTTGTAATTAATGCCACATGATACGAAGAGAAAGGCGAGCTGACAGTTCCAGATTTGCTCTTAAAACATTTCAGGGTGTAGAATTCAGTTTAAAACTTGTAAACGAAGAAATAAAGAATAAATAAGCTTTCAAATTTCTCACTGTAGACAGACAACAGTATTTCATAACTTGGGTCTAGCGGACAGAAAGCATTTAGAAGGTTACAGGAATAACTATTTAAAATGAGAACAAATTAGAGTTAAATTGTATCTTTACACCTAATGCATTTACAGCTATTACATAGCAAACTTGCCTAAAGCACCTCCGTTCAGATACTAAGCACTTAATTGTTATGAAAATCATTTGGGTTTGCCTAAGTGTAATGTAACATAGTATGTGCATGATATATGAAGTATAAACCACATGGATATTGTCGTACTAGACCCTAAATATTGCATTTTCATAACTTAAAATGTTAGCACATTAAAGGCAGTTTACCTTTTGTTTATTCATCTGACTAGTAACACAACTATTTAGTGATATCATTCCTGCTGTTGATCATGTACTGGTTATTTATTCATATTACATCTGATCATTGGCTCAATTTATATTACGTTCGTGAGTTTAAACACATGACTTACCTAATGGTTACTAACCAAGCGTTAGTTGTCTAACCTAAAATTATTGTCTGACACTTTCCATTTCAGGAGTATTTACACTGCTCTTGAAAGTGGTATTTGCCTAGATAAGACGGTGTAACATTAAACATCAATTTCAGCGGTTTAGGTTTTTCACCTGCAGTAATTATTGACCGCTTACGTCTAGAATTGCAGAAAACAAAAGCTTATCTAGTAAACCATAAACATATTTCATATTTCGATATAGTTGGTAGGTAAATACAATGGAATCTGAAATGAAGATAGTTTAGATATTACTCATTTGTAAGGTGACTATGCATATAGAGAAAGAAAAAGAGAAAGTAGGCATTCAGTGTTACTTTTCAGTGGGTTGACAGTAATGAAATTAATCAGTTTTCATTCTGAAAAAAGGGATTTGAGTGTTTTCATATATACACACATCATGCTTATTTTGAAACGACTACGATTCACGGGAAAATTTCATTTCGGAAACAAAAATACGTAGGTTACATGTAATCTTTATTGCAACAATAACTTCAGACATTACACACATGTACATATATATATATATATATCAGAGAAAAGCAAGACGTAATATTCGATGAGGCTGAGTGCATTTATTCAAAGGTAATTCCGCTCGCCCGCTGTTCCTCAGCGATGCGGAGCAGTTCATGCACATGGTCGGGCAGCGGAGGGGCAACGGGCAGGAGGTCGGACGAGGGCTGGTAACCGTTCTCGTCGGCGACGAAGCTGACTTCAGCAGTGGTTCCGTCGGGAAGGAGGAAGCTACAACAAAGGATATCAGTGTAGATACTGCAGCCTAAAATCTATAGTTTATTATAAAATTCAATCTACATTTGTTTCTTCACTTTACCTGAATGAGCCCTGCATGTTGCTCTGGCCCTCAGATCCGGGAGTGCCAATTTTGTTGGCCCTGATACCATTGCTCGTCTCGAAGGTGTACTGGAAGTTGCCGTCGCCGTTGTCGGACCTCTCGTCCAAAACGGTCTCGGCCTCAGACTCGGCTGTCTGAGGACGGGCGAGGGCGACGGCGGCCAGACAGGCGAAGACGATCTGTGGGCGGAAATAGTTTTCCACTGAACATATTTTCAACATATTAAAAATCTCTCACTATACTTTTCAACTTTCTTGCATATAAATACAAACACGCGTAAAAATACATATGCGAGTGAGTATGTGAACGTGAAAGTAATTAAACTCGGTTCCACTCAGACTGCCTCTTGGCGCACCAACCCCGTCAAATACAACGCCAGTAATGACAAGGCAGGACGTGCATGCTGTACTCACCAGCTTCATGGTTGTGTGGTGAAGCTTGCGGTTGCAGCCGTTGTTTATATAGTGGCGAGAGGCTCAGGAAGGTTAAGGGCAGAGGGAAAGGGTTTAAGCGTGGGCGGCACTGTTTACTTCAGTGTGACCTCAAGAAGAGGATTTTGTATAATCATGTAAGAGTGATTGTGGCAAAGTAAGGTTGACGAGTAGTTTAAGAGTAGATTTCAAGTTAAATAAGATTGAAGTTCAGTTTTAAAAGTAGATGAGATTAAAGATTTTTTTAGGAGCAGGGTAAAAAGATTCACTGACAAAAAGGTTGGTGGCAGATAACGGCGGAGGGTGTGCCCTGAGAACTTTCAGAATACCGTTATTATTTTCAGTATAACGTATTAGTCATCATATTAAACTTAATTTGTATATTTTTTATCATTATCATTATTATGATTATTATTATTATTGTTATCATTATTATGATTATTATTAATATTATCATTATGATTATCCTTATTATCATTATCATCGTCATCATTATCATTATTATCATTATTACTATTACTGTTATTACTGATATTATAGTTATCATCATTATCACCGTTGTTACTTTTATCATCATTATCATCGTTACTATCTTTATAATAATGATAATTTTTCATCATTATTATTGTTATTTTTTATCATTATTATTTTTATTATTATTATTATTGCTATTATTGTTATCATTATTATTACTATTATTGTTATTATTACCGTCATCATTATCATTATCATTACCATCTTTATTATTATTACTATTATTATTATTATTGTTATTATTACTGTTACTATTATTAATGATATCATAATTATTGTTATTAGCTGTAGTAGTAGTAGTATTACAACCATTATTATCATAATTACTATTATTATTGTTACTATTATTATTATTATTGTTATTCTGTTGTTGTCCAGTGTTATTATCATTGTTGCTATGATTATCATTACTAATATTGTTATTATTATTGTTATTGTTGTTGTTTTGTTAATGTTATTGATATTATTGATACTCTCATTATCATCAATATTATAATTACTATTATTGATATTATCATTATCAACATCATTGTTATAATTAGTATTATTGATATTATCATTGTTATTGTTGTTGTTGTTATTGTTATTACTTATTATTATTATTATCATTGTAGTTATTGTTATTAATGTTGTTATTGTTATCGTTATTATTTATATTATATATATATATATATATATATATATATATATACGTGTGTGTCTATACCTATCTACTTCATCCTCATACATATGAAATTAATTTTCTCTTTCTTTATATATATGTGTGTGTGTATACATACATATATATATATATAAACATATACATGTATATGTATATATGTATATATAAACATGTTTATAAACATATATATACGTATATACATATGTATATATATATATACGTATATATATGTATAGATATATATATATCAGCAAGGGGCTAACGCCGAAGGGGGTGCATGGCCGTATCCACCCTTCGCTTCCAACTACAGGGGTCCTTCATGACGAGTCTCCAGGCAGGCCCTCGGCCCATCTCTAACTCCTCGCAACAGGTCTGGTCGAACTGCCCATCTCATGACTTCCTAGGTCGTCCCACGGGCCTCCTCCACT